GAGTGGGGGTGCCACATGTCCCCTGGCCTGACAAAAGCAAACTCTTAACACGTTGCTGTTGGTTTAGCGGGGCTGCAGGCTGGGTGGCAGTAGAAGGTAAACAAACAAAAAGCCACAGCTTGCCTTCCCACTTTTGGGAGGAGGGTGTTAAGGTTGGATAGATGGTTTTAATTATAGCCTTGCTGGCTGTGTGCATACTGCATAGCGACCTACCTTGATGTGTGAAAAACAGGTCTGGTTAATCTGGATTTTAAACATTTTCTGTCGGTTTCTGCTCATCAATAAAGGTTTATGTACTCGGCAAAAAAGAATGAAACTGTAAACTGACATACACTTTCTCACTCATTAGGCGCTTTCACACCAAGTACTTTGCCGTACTTAGTTCATCGGAACTCTTTAGTTCCCGGAAAGCCTTCCGATCAAATTGCCAGAACGCCAACACCTCCTCATCACTCCACCGATCCCATGTTTTTTATTGTGTTGCCATAAGTTATTCTCTCTCCGTTGGTGCACGGGGCTAATGCTAATGCTAATAATGCTAATGCCAGGAAATAAAATGGCGGCTTCACAAAACTTTTCCGAGTTTTACGGGGCGTGGTTGACAATTCGCCCAGCCAATCAGAAATTGGAACCTTTTTCTCCCCAGGAAAGTCCATGCTCTCTTGCAGGGACTAAAAAGGGGTGAAAAGGTTTCACAAAAAAAAGTTCTAGTTCCAGGTCTTTTTGGTGTGAACGCAAAATCCGAGGAACTATCGGAACTATTCCTGGAAAAAGTACTCCGGTGTGAAAGCGCCTATTGGGTCAAAACACCAGGAACTAAGGGATGACGACTTCAAAAATATATACCATGTTAAGATTGTCATACCATCTTTAAATCATGTTATTATTAGAATAAAAGTATATTTTAACACTCTTTTAGTCACTGTTCCTGCTTTTTTCATCGGCTGAAGACCTAAATGCTGATTATCACATGGCACTGAGTCTCTGAGAAGATGTAGGTATGTCTCGTGGTACTCTTAGGGGTGGAGACTTTCTTCACTTCTTCCCAGTATTTATACTCTGCTAAAACAGGAAACTTGGAAAAATTGAACTGAAAGAAACAGGGGATTTTTAGTTTCAGGCCATTATTAACGTAAAGGTTACAGACAAGTCAAAACAAATTCCCCTTTTTTCCTGGATGGGGACTTTCAAAAGAGCAGGCCAGCACATAACCTCCTCGGGCTCATCTCATATCAGGAGTAACAAGAAACTGCCATTTACGTGAAATTTCCATCAGGAGGCCTCCAATGACTCAAGGTAATTTTGCCTCAGAATGTTAAGGTTGGGCTGCCTCAGCAGAGGGACACTGAGGGAGCCTGGGCTATCAGAGAGCCGACGGAGGCTCTTCCCACCCCGGCTGCAAAGTTAACAACCCCTTATGATGAGCGCCCATCAACAGTTCAGAGGCTGTAAAGAAAATAAACCCTGAATACAGAGAAAATCAGTCCTGTGGCTCAAAAGATGTACACAAACAGCCAGACACTCACATTTACTGCTTTGAGCACTTCTCTGGTGCCTTATTACTGATTCCAAGATTGTCCTGTAACCACTGAGTCAACGCAATACAGCTCTGAGATTTGTGACGTGATAAAACATCCATTGCAGCAATATGCTTGAGAAGTTGTTTCAACAGAAAAAGGAAAAGGTAAAGGAGGTATTTGTCTTTCCTTCATTGGGGCTGGATAAGGAGGCTACTGCAGTGTGGGGAAGGCACGATTTTAGACACTTTGAGGGACCAACAGTAAATCAACAGACCCCCCCCCCCCTGCTACTGCGTAAACACTTAAGGGCATGAGGAATCTCACTCCCCCATGGCTTGAGGAAATGAGGGTGAGAGATGGCTGAGTGGCGGCACACCGGGGTGAAGAGGCCATCATGGAATACTGGAAGTAGTCTAAATAAAGATGGCAGCTTGGTATTGTTTTTTGGAGCTGGCGTGAGGTCGGAAGTACTTAAAAGTAGACTAGGCTTAAGAATATTAAGTCAAAATTAACCTGTCTTCGAGGGTTGCAAGAACTAGGGGGCTGTTCTGCCAAAAGTGTTTTCTCTATTGGTGTCTACAATAAAAAGAGAATAGCTTTTAGCCTTATCCCCAAAGTTTTGAAGACACTTTATAAATCTTCAGTGCAGGTGGGGCATAGCCATTTATGTTGCCTCAGTCAGGTACCTTAACAGCATCACATTGTTGGTGTGAGGGTTAGAATTACACATTTAATTACTTGAATTAGAATAAAACCATTATTGAACGTAGGATGTGGACAGACTGGTACATCTCTGCCATTTGATCACAGAGACATTCTGAGATTTCTATGGGCATTTCTTTCTTTGGCCCGGCTTAACTTCACTTGACTCAGGGTACGACAAATCACAGCTTCAATATCGACTTTGTCATCTGAAGTCGTCGGTCCTTGACAGCCACAGAACCTTCCCTGAAGACAGTAAAACATCCTTCACACGGGCGGCGCTATGACAAAAACAACATCCCTGTGGTTTCTACATCGGAGTCTTCCAAGTCATCTTTAAGAACTAAGAACAGCAAGCTTCAAAAACAGGTATAGTTTGGGATTAGATACTGAAAACTGGAAACTATATCCACAAAATCACCACATTTAAAACATGGCTTTCAATATAGTCAGGACTTCCTTCACAGTCATTTAAATACGACAGTTACATACAGCAAAGCTTTCACTTTTCCTGTAAAAATGAAATAATAAATCCCCAAAGAAGCCTTTTAAATTTTTCGATGCACCTTTTGTATACAATAACATCGCATATCAGGTTCCTGTGACATCCAATACCCATTTCCACAAAGTATCCACTATTCTGCATTCAATTAGGGAACCATAAACACTACTACACGACACCAGAGTACATAAGCATTAAGCAATCATGTAATCCACGGTCCACCGCAACAATAACTCAAGGGTTTCCATAGGAGGCCCTCTCGCATTGTCAGCCATGCAGAGTCCTGCCAAATCACCAATAAACGGATTTAACTTGTCAGCACATTAGGGTAACCCCAATGCATGCTTGTACTACAGAGCAGTGGCACGGAGAGCCAAGGAGAGTCGGCCAGAGGTCCTCAAGAGAGATGACGGATTAACTTCACTGATCCTCACTGTCTTGCAGGAGAAGAGGCAGGGAGAGGGGGAATCCTCTTAGCCAGAAGATATTGGGGAGGTGGGGTGGGGTTAAAAATAGTCTGCTATTGACACTGATTAAAAATCCTATTACTGCGATGCATTTAGGAGTCACTTAGGGGGAATACAAATACCGACACATATTTACAGTAAATGTGGGGTATAATTTATCTGGTTTGTTTTGTTTCACAGGTTTGGATAACTCAATGAAAGCCGGCATTCACACAGCAATATATGGCTAATTTAAATACTACATAAATTAAAACATGTGCATTTAGGTTCAGATTTAAGGATATATCAGGGGTGCATTCGTTCACAAATGCTACCTCTTAAACTGGCAATAAAGTGCGCTCTTTTACCACCTGCGCGCATTTTGGACAAGCTCCACCGCAGGTCTCCAAACAACATAGCATTCCATGTAAAGCCCTTAGACACAAAACGTTCCCACATCCACTAGGCTCACCTCAACAGGTCAGCAATCCACGTGCGAATTCCCTTCGTATCCTGCCCAAAATGTGTCTTGGAACAGCAGACTATCTCCTTTACATGTGAATAACCCCAGGCGGTGAAACTCAGCGGTGGCTGCCCGCTCCGGCCACTCACTGCAGCATTATTCAGGTGCAAATGAAGAAGAAAGAAAACGTGTATTCTCGGTCTCAGAGCAGCGCGTTGGTTTGGAGAAGACAGCTCCCCTGAATGAGTGGCAGCTCCGGCTGAGTTGCTCCGCAGACGCCTTCTTGTGAGAATGAGCCCCGGAGCCGCGAGCAGCCTCAAGACTTCACTGTGAGGGGAGAGGCAGCAGCCAATCAGAGGAGAGAACTCCCCCCCTCCTTCTATCGCTCATCCTCCCCCACCTATCCCGTTGTCAATTTAATTTCCCTTTCCCTTTCTCCATCTAAATTTCCCTCTGACTCCGATGTCTCTTCCATCGGTCTCACTCTTCCTCTTTTAAGTTTCGATTTGCATTTCCGTGTGCTTTATTTAGCCTCCGGGAATGCCAGTCAGAGTGTTACCAAAAAATTCAAAGGATAGTATCTACATGAAAAACTATTTGAAACCTTTGGTATATTCTCAGGTTTAAAGATAGGCTAAGTTTCGGTCTGTGCGTGTCTATGTTTTAAAAAAAAATGTTTTTCGGTAGGTTGGGTTACTCTTGTATTATTTTACCTATACTATGAGCATGGTTGTGTGTTTTTCTATGCATTTTAATTTAAGAACACTGAATCTTCTAAATAAACTCTTGTTTTTTTTCTTTCTTAATACTGAGCCATGATCATTCTCAACTGCAATTTGCTAATTGTTGCACACATGTCTGCACAGCCCTCCCCTTTAAAATATAATTCACTGTAGTTTGCCATTGTCATATTTTCATTTTAATAAGTGTTTTTGTTTTATTATTTTTTAAGGTTCTTTGTATATTTAAGTTTAAATTATAAATATATATATATATATATATATATATATATATAATAGGGCCGGGACTCGATTAAAAAAATTAATCTAATTAATTACAGGCTTTGTAATTAATTAATCGCAATTAATCGCATTTTTAATCACATATAAATATTTGACCTGAGAACAGTGAGAAGCAGTTTTTTCACATGGATTTTAGTATACCTTTGAATAATGACTGAATACATAAGCTTAAGCAACAAAACATTGTTTTCAAGGTGGTACTTAAAGACCAACAGAAAAGTGCAATTTTTGCCATAAAGTGTAGCAATAGCATATTTAGGAATATAGTACATTTCAGAGATTCAGGTAGCCTATAGGTAGGTAGACCTTCTGTAAACTATAACACTTTGTTTTTTAAGTAAAACACAATACTTTCAAGTACATTCAGAACATTGGAAACCCTGACTATTAGAAAACATCTCTCTGTTGCTTCAGAGNCGTTAATTTTTTAAACGCGTTAATGTTTGTGTAATTAATTAATCTTAATTAACGCGTTAAAGTCCCGGCCCTAATATATATATATATATATATATATATACAGGGGTGCACATGACTGGTACGCATGCGCGGCAACAATCCGAAATGCGTACCGTCTCTTGTGTCACAACGCGCATTTGCGTACCGACGTACTTGTGAAGCTTTTCCAGAAGGCGGTTAGATCAACGGACGACAGAGTCGGTCTCCATATGCACAGACAGGGCTGCTGTTAACGTCGGTCTGTAAAACGGAATTGTGCCAAAACTACGCCAACCGGCTGCGGAGGGAGACTCCCCCCCCCCTTCACTGGAGAACTGCGCTAAAACAGCTGATCAACCACCCCCCATCATCAATATCGTCCCTTCGAAAAATCAGCTCCAAAGCCTCAGCCGTAGTAAACTTACTTACCATACCTCAGTTTACTTTCAAAACACAAACAAAATGTATTCCAACTGTTATGTTGTTGTCGCGCGTGGAATTATACCGGCTCTCGTTTCAGTACACAAAACAACGGAACTGACTCTGAACCAGACTCCGATTGGCTGTGACTGCATCCACTCAGAGTGTCCGATTCAGAAACGTGACTCTTACACTATTTACGTCACAAACAAAGATGGTGGATGAGAATAGACCTATAACACAGACCGAAAAGGATAAGCAATGCGCCAAAATCAAGGTGAGACTATCTGCATCTTTTAAAACTTTACGCACATTCGTTTCACCGAAATAAGTAAACGCCTCTCATTGAAAAACTTAATCCTCTTGTGTCAATGAATCTCTGTACCATATGTCATGAAAATCCAACAGTTGGTTTCAGTTTTGACAAAAGTGGTAGACCAACAGGCTGACATCATCAGCCCTATATAGACTATAACAATAATAACAATAACTGCAATAACTATAATAGAATGGTAATTTGTGTCCTGCAGCGTACAATTTGCTCTGAGCTAAGGTAGCAATTTCATGCTTACCCACAAATATTTTAAATGTATTCTCTTTATTTTCTCTTGCACCCTTCCCTCTGCCTTTCTCCCAGTTTTATCTCCATCCATCCCTCCCCCAGCCTCTCTTTTGTTTTCCGACACGCCTCATTCTGAGTTCAAGTCATGTAATCTGAAGCTCCATAACCAACCGAAATAAACAAATTATAATTGTACAGATTACATCAGTGGGAAAAGCTGTCGCTGGAAATGAAACTGAACAGCTGAGTTGCTTTCTTTGTATCGCATCAAAATTAGTTCTTAAGACCCGCAGAGACGTTAGTTTTTGTCCAAATAATTCAAGGTGACAACAGATTCTGCATTTCCAAGCGGAGTAATAAGCCATGGTAAAAAAAAGCGAATCATTCCAAATCTCGCCACGATCCAGAGGTATTACATAATCTGGAATTAAGGCAGATTTACGTATATGCACTAATCCAGCTTTTCTCTCGCTTAAATGATCACACAGAGTCTTACGATAAAGACCAGGATTGCAGTCATTATGTTGGACACAATCACAATATACGTATGGCCGCAGACACCACAAACATGGTCATGCTTGAACCAGGATGTAATTTAAGTTGGACATTTTGGGTGTCGAATAAAAAATGTATAATTAGAATCAAGAAACAGTATGCATTTGGCAAGGGTTAACAAAACTTTTAACCAAACATATTAGCTAATTCACTTTGAGGCTATGGTGACAACTCACTATAACGAGAACACTACATTTGACAGAGGAAGAGGTTTATTTTCCAAGTTACCAGCATCAAAGGACATTTTGCAGAAGAACAAGACCTAGAACATGCAGGCTTTCTTATATATATAAAACATATATAAAACATTGATATATCCATACCATTTTCTGTCTATCAATACTCCCTGTTTTCCCGACCCTGTCCGATAGTGAGCTGACCATTTTTGGAATTTACTAAAAATATTAAAGGGGCCCTACTATGCTTTTTTAGGCTTTTTCCTTTCCTGTAGTGTGTTATATAGGTTTGTGTAAATGATCTGCAAAGGCTAAAAATAAATCCAGAAGTTCCCTCAAGAGGGAGTTTTCCTCCCACACACTCCCCCCCTGCCTGAAAAACCTCCATTAGACTCCTTTGTTTACTTCTGTAACATAATGACATCATTATGCAATACTCACAGTTTTATTGGCTGGTGCTCCAAAACACTGTACGTGATACAGGAGGGGCAGGACATTTCTGAATCATCTTTAAGCAGTTGACCAATCACATCAGAGCCGGCCTACCAATCAGAGCAGACTGTGCTCTTGTTTCAGACAGAGATGAAAAGAGGTGCTCAGCACAAGAAGAATGAGAAAAATAAGAGCTTTTTGAATATTAAAGCATGGAGACATGTCACAGTAGAGGCACGAAATATAATTATGAAACATGAAAATGAGCAAAATAGGGACCCTTTAATTGACTCATTTTAATGGGACTTTTTGTTTGTACTTTTAACATAAATAGGGAGCATATAATGCATCAAATGAGTAGACTAATAGTGCTTTTTTATAAAGAGGATAAGATGTTATTTACCGGCTCCTCTCTCCTGTTATTTTGCAAAGGTAGCGGTCTATTTTCAGTGGTGGATGAATTCACATGTGTGGCTCTATTGAATTTTGAAAGAACTGTGTGTGTGGAAGTGAAAATAATCCATATTGTTTGTGTTCATGGTAATAAAGAAACAGCCAAGAGAAAGAGTGCGCCTAAAACAAGTTGTTGGCTTCGAAGCTCTATGGTAGGAAAATGGTAAAGAGTATCAGGCTTTGATACACACAAAGTAGGATGCATGTAGAAGAAGAAGAAGAAGATATATAGTTTATTAATCCCTCACATGGACATTTTCTTTTCTTTCTCCATGTATAGTTAGCGTTGGTCTTTTCAAAGGATTTGGTGGCAATAAGAAAGTCATATCCTGTAAGTACTCCTACAGAAAACCAGCCTGACCAGTGTTGATTACGTTTCAGCGTATCAAAAGGTTTTCCATTCCAACTCGTTCACGCTAGCTTCAGGGGCAGCCTGTGTTGGGTGGCAGAGTGAAAGATTTCCTGTTTGTCTATTCAGGTAACAATCAGCCAGGGCAGCTTTCAGCCTGGGGGTTTTATACATAGGATTCTTGTGAGTGTAAAGCAAGGCGTCGCAGGAAGAAACTCCCGGTCAAAGCTTTAACAGCTAAATGATATGGCAAATCAGACTACTACAACAATTACGAGAACAACGTAATCGAAATAAAACGATTATTTTTTTATTATTATTATTTAAAGTTCAGGGTAATCAACTGTTAAAAACATACTGTTCACATTTTTTCTCTCCAATAAATTGATGTTTTCAAAGTAAATGGATAATCGTTTTTTAATAATCGTGATATCAATTATTGACCCAAATAATCAAGATTATGATTTCTGCCATAATCGAGCAGCCCTAAATCAGACCAGTGTCCACAGCGTCATTACCATGCTGTGTGACTGAAGACATCAGATGCTTACTCTGGAGAAAGCCTGTCTGGAGTGTCAGAACTGTGCTAAAGGTCTCTTATGCAAGCGTGACATCCAGGCTGATGTGCTGGATTTTAAATGACAAACATTGACTTTATGCTTTTTTTGTGCTACATTCCTCTTATAGCTCCGACACAGAGTAGTTCAATGTTTCCTATTTGTGCCATCCCTGTCACAGTTCACTGTCTCGCTCATGCAAACCTGTTTAACAATTGTATTTTGGACACCGAGGGAAATAAACTTGTGAGATTTTCTTCCATATTGGAACTGATGACAAAAAATAAATACTTGTTATAGTCAAGATATTTACATTTGA